CTGCTGAGGTGAAGCACCTTACACTTCTCAACATTGAAGGCCATCAGATTTTGGTCAGTCCACCTTGAGAGCATGTCCAAGTCTGCCTGTATCCCCAGCCTGTCCTGCAGTGTGACTGCTCACCCCCATAATTTGGTGTCATTTGTGAACTTTGGCAGTTTGCATCTAACTCCTGAATCCAGGTCATTAATGAAGATGTTAAAGAGTCCTGAGGGACTCCACTGGTCACCATGCACCACATTGACTTGCTCCCATCAACTAGTACTGTTTAGGTCTGGCCCGATAGCCAGTTACCTAGCCATAAGATGATCAAGGTCACAGTTCCCCAGCTTAACTATGAGGACACCACTGGGAAATAGGTCAAAGGCTTTCTTGAAATGATATCCAGATTTATGACATCCACATCCTCTCCCTTGTCCAGGGCTCATGTTACCTGGCCATAGAAGGAGATGAGGTTGGTCAAACAAGACCTGCCAGTCACAAAGCCATGTTGGCTGGCCTTCAGAATCGTGCCTTCCATTAGTCTGGTGTTGATGGATCTCTTGACAATTTTCTCCAAGATTTTTTCCAGGGATGGACATCAGACTGATTGTTCTGTAATTCCTTGGGTCATCCCTCCTCCCCTTCTTGAAGATAAGGACCACATTGTCTCTTTTCCAATCTTCTGGGACCTCACCTGAGCACCACAAATTTTCAAGTGTCTTTGCCAAGGTGGGTGCAATGATGTCTGACAGCTCCTTCAGGACACTCGGGTGCATTCCATCTGGGCTCATGCCTTTGTGAATGTTCAGTTTCTCAAGGTGTTCCCTTACCTGATCCACATCAATTTTGGGCCTGTCACCAACTCCCAGGATATTATGTGTCCTTTCTGACACTGTGATTCCCTTGGAAGTGTGAAAAACAAATGCAAAGAAGTAATTTAGGAGATTGGCCTTTTCTTGGGCATTGGATGTCAGTTGCCTCATTTGATCTTGCAGGGGCGCAATGATATCTTTGTTCCTTTTATGACTTCCCACATATCTGAAGACGGGTTTTTTATTGTCCTTGATCCCCATAGCTAGCCTCAGTTCAGTTTGTGCCTTGGCTTTTCTGAACGGCTCCCTACAGGTGCAGGCAAGTGTTGGGTAGTCCTCTTCGGTGATGCTTACCATTTTCCAACTGTTATATGTTTCTCTTTTAAATTTAATGAGTTCCAACAGTTCCTTGTTGAGCCAGGGGGGCTTCCTTGGCCCATTGATTACATTTCTTGATAGATGGAATGGCTTTCTCATATGTGTCAAAGATTATGTTTTTGAGAGATGACCATTCCTCGTTTAGTCCCTTATTTAAAGGGGGTTGGCCTGTAATTGCCTGACTTGCTAAATCTCTGAGTTTGCAAAAGTCACCCTTCACAAAGTTGAGGATTTCTGTTTTACTGAGTGATTTGCCTGCTCTTCAGTGAACTAAGAAGGTGACAAAATCATGGTCGCTCTCACCAAGCTTCCCATCAATCCTCAGTTCACTCACCAGATCCTTCCCTTTGGCAATGTCTCTCCCTTAGTCGGTCCATAAAACTCCTGAGTTAGGTAGAGGTCATCAATACAAGTGAGAAAGTTGTGTGATCTGTCCAATTTGGCAATGCACTCATCCCAAGAGATGTGAGGGAAGTTAAAGTCTCCCATGACAATCATGCATTGGGAGTGGCAATCTCTCCCAGTTCCCTATTGAATTCCTGATCAAGTTCTTCCTCTTGGTGGGGAGGTCTGTAGTTGACTCCTACAAGTATGTCTCCCTCCCCATGTTCTCCCCATATTTTGACCCAGAGGGTCTCAAGATGCCCATCATGGTTATAAAACTCAATTTGCAGGGAAGTGAAATGATCCTTGACATAGTGAGCAACACCCCCCACCCCTCTTCCCAAGACAGTCCCTCCTATATAAGGTATAACCCTCCAAATCAACAGACCAATCATAGGTAGAGTCCCACCAGGTCTCTGTTATCCCTGAAAGGTCATAGTCATGTTCAAATAACAGAAGGGCCAGTTCCTCTTGCTTGTTTCCCAAGGTCCTGGTGTTCGTGTATATGCAGTTGAGTCTGCCCCAGGCTTCCTTATGGGGTGAGGTGGGACCTTTCCATGGGCTGTTGTCAGATTGGGTTCCCTTGAGCTACCCAAGTTATTAGTAATGTGGCTGACGTGACCTGGGCTAGAACTATTAATAGCTTACTCAATCCTCAGTGCTCTTTGTTTAAATGATTGTTTAGTCTAGAGAAGAGAAGACTGAAGGAAGATTTGATGAGAGGCTTCAAATACCTGAAGGGTTATTAAAGAGAGGATGGATATGGGATTTTTTTTTTCTGTGGCCATAGGTAACAGGACTATGAGCACTGGTCTCAAACTGGAAATTTAGGCTGAAGTTTAGGAGGAAGTTTCTGAATATGAGAGTGGTCAGGCACTGGAATATGCTACTTAGAGAAGTTTTAGATTTTCCATGCTTGGAAACTTTCTAAAGCATGCTGACCAACACTTGGCTTGTATGTTTTATTGAGGGATGATCCTGCCTTAAGTGGTGTGCTGGATTAGATGACCTTGGGAGGTCCTTCCCAGCCATACTTTCCTATGAGATGATGTAACCATATCTTACTAAAGCATGCCCATAGATTTACAATTAGAAGCACAATTAAACAGAGAACATGGCTGCAAGGAGACATTATAAAGGAAGACCATACCTGAAATAATCCAAATAAACTACAGGTTTCCCTCACTTTATGTGGGTTCTGTATGTGTGAATTCACTCTTATGCAATGATGTCCCAGGGGGACACAAACAGAGGTCCCAAGAACCCCTCCCATGGTGAGACCCAAGACTCAGATAAGCTCCCAGAAAAAGAAAACCAAAAGCCCTGAGGAGGGGGCTCACTTATCTCCAGCAGGAAAAAATGTGCCACTTTGAGAAGAGCCAACAGTGCAGTTCATCAGCTACTTTTATTTGTGGCTGCAAGCAATGCTGGTGGATGACATCATGAAAAACCACTGCCCAGAGGACTTAAAAGTCAGTGGTGGGGAGACAAAGAGGAGGGCATCTGAACCAGGGACAGGGGAGAAGCTGCAGGACATCTAAAGAAGGGGAGCTGCGAGAGTCGAGGTGGGGGCCCACCAGAAGGATCCTGGGCCTCTTAAAAGGGTAAACGCCCATCTCAACAGGACAGCCAGATCAAGGTGGATGGTGTTGAGGGATCCTGATGACTACAGACACCAGACCCATGAGTGGGGCAGGCTGTGGTCCAAACCCCATGCTGTTTCTTTCTTTTCTCTTTTTTTTTCTTTCTTTTCTTGGTGGATATTGGTGCCTCATAGGGCACCCAGAGCCCGAAACAAGGGAGCATCCCCAATTGACCCAAAGGATCAAGAAGAAGAGTGGAGCCACCTCGGTGAACCTGATGGCTCAGAGATAGGGACAAGGCAGAGCTTGAGACAGGGCCAGTACCACACCCTGTAGATACCTGGGGCAAAGAAAGACACTGAGGGATGGGCAAGAGGGAACAAGAGCAGGAGCAAGCATCAGAGACAAGCTCACGACCCATCACCTGATCG